ATGTTTGTTCTCCACCACCGTGACTCCGGTCTTCTTGGGAACAACTTGGGTTGGACTAACCCACTTGCTATCAGATATGGGGAAGATTATCCCCATTTGGAGAAGCTTGATGACCTCCTTTTTGACCACCTCCATCATAGGTGGGTTCAATCTCCGTTGTGGTTGGCGCACTGGTTTAGCTTCATCCTCCATCAAGATGCGGTGCATGCAAGTAGATGGACTAATGCCTTTAATGTCGGCTATAGTCCACCCGATTGCAAGTTTGTGCTCTTTAAGCACCGCAATTAGCTTACTTTCTTGCTCCCCGGTCAGTTTGTTTGAGATTATGACCGGTAATGTTTCTTTTTCTCCCAAGTACACATATTTCAAATGTGTTGGGAGTGGTTTCATCTCAATTTCGGGGGCCTGCAAAATAGAAGGCAAAGGCTTTTCCTCGGGGATGGTTAGTGGGAATGCTCTTGACCCTGGTGGCATAAGTGGAAGTTGGAAATGGTTATCCAACTCCACCATCATGGCTTGCCTATTGGGGGTCAAAGCAAGTTCTAAAGAATTTTCCCCGAGGCCATTCTCAATTATACTTAGTAGGTCATCCTCCCCATTCATTTCAAAAGTATTTTGCACAATGGGATCTATAACATCAATGGCGAATAGAGAATGATTTTCATTTGGGTATTTCATGGAGTCGTAAATATTGAATTCAACTTTATCTCCATCAAATTCCAGAGTTAAAGATCCGCTAAAAACATCAATTTTAGCTCTAGCGGTCTTTAAAAATGGCCTTCCTAAAAGGATAGGAACCGCATTCTTGTCATTTTCCATTTCTAAAACATAAAAGTCGGCGGGAAAGATCAAATTGTCTACCATAACTAGTACGTCTTCGACAATACCTTTAGGGTAGGCATTTGATCTATCCGCAAGTTGAATAACTACTCCGGTTTCATTGAGAGGGCCAAGTTCAAGTGATTTATACAAAGAATAAGGGATGACATTAATTGATGCCCCCAAATCTAACATGGCCTTTGAAAATGTAGTACCTCCCAACTTACAAGGTATAGTGAACATGCCCGGGTCATTGTATTTTTTTGGAAGTTTCTTTTGAAAAACCGCGGAGACACGTTCACTAACTTGAACTTTCTGTTTTCCATTGAGTCTATGCTTCCTTTTTATTGTGCATAACTCCTTGAAAAATTTTGCGAATCTAGGAACACCTTTTATTAAGTTGAGAAGAGGAATATTTACCTCACATTTGGAGAATGTCTCATAGATGTCCTTATCTTTCTCCACCCTTTTCGTTTCCCTTAGAGCTTCGGGAAACGGTGCTTCCACTTCATGAATAACCGGGGGTGGAGTTGAAATGTGAGCTTCCCCTTCCTCCGGTTGAGCTTTCTCCACAAGCTCTTCTTCCTCTTCCTCGCCAATGTGGCTTTTGGCTTTCTCCTTGGCAATCACCAATTCTTTGCCACTCCTTAATGTCACCGCATGGGCTTGTTGCCTAGGATTCGGCTCCGTTTGAGATGGAAGCTTTGTTGAATCCTTGGCTTCAAGCCTACTCACCGCACTTGAGATTTGGCTCATTTGATTCTCAAGGTTTTGGATGCTTGATTTTGTCTCATGTTGGAATTGAACCATGTTTTGTTGCATGGTTGAGACATTTGAGGTGAGTGCTCGGATCATGTCTTCGGTGGACATAGTTGAGCTTTGGCCTTGGGGTTTAGAGTACGGTTGTTTTGGAGGAAATTGGTTTTGTGGAGGGTTATTTTGTGGTGGGTTTCCTTGCGGATTCCCATATCTCAAATTGGGATGATCTCTAAACCCGGGATGATAAGTGTTGCCGTAAGAATCATACCTCTTTTGGTTTGGGAACCCCAAAGCGTTGACCTGCTCGGGGTTTTCTTCTTGAAGGCTCGGGCATGCATCGGTGGGATGGCCTTGTTGTGTGCAGATGCCGCAGACCTTGACTTCTTGGGTTTTGGAATTTAAAAGAAAATCCTTTACCAAAGAAGTCAAGCCGGCAACTTGACTTTCTAGAGATGATGTTGATTCGGCCGCCATGACTCTTTTTGTTGATGACCGCCCGTTGTGATATCTACAATTCTCGGCCAACTCCGAGATAAGATTCATAGCTTGAGAAGGAGTCTTGTTAACGATCCCTCCTCCACATGCGGCATTAATCATCCGTCTATCATCATTGCAAAGACCATCATAAAAGTATAGGATGAGGTCTTGCTCCGAATAGCCATGATACGGACAGCTTGCACAAAGTTTCTTGAATCGTTCCCAATATTCATAGAACGATTCATCATCTTTTTGCTCCACATTGCTTATTTGTTTTTTTAGAGATGAGGAGACAGAGGCTGGATAGTACCTTTCGAGGAAAGCTTTCTTCATGGCCGCCCATGTATCTATACTTCCCGAGGGAAGATAGAATAGCCAATCTTTTGCGGTATCTTTGAGGGAGAATGGAAAGGCCCTCAACTTTATCTGTTCCTCGGTGACTCCATTAGGGCACATGCTCGTGCAAACAACATGGAACTCCGAGAGATGTTTATTTGGGTCTTCTCCTCTTAAGCCATGGAAGGATGGCAAAAGATGAATGAGCCCTGATTTGAGCTCAAATGTATTACCTTCGTTGAGTGTAGGGAAGGTAATACATAGTGGTTGTTGATTCAAGTTTGGAGCTGTGAGCTCCCTCAACGTTCTTGTTTCAAGAGCCATAGTTATTGGTTCTTCAGGCTCGCTAGAATAAGAGCTAGTACTTGATGAATCTCCCGAGTCGGTATTTGAGAATTTATTTTTCAACCGCTCGAAAGTTTGCTCTATTTCGGGGTTTGATTGGTATGTGATTTCGTTTATAGAACGATATCGGACCATATACTTCACAAAGCTCAGAAATAGAAAAATAAGAACTCTTTATATTTTTGGTTAATTATTTTTTTTTTATTTTTCTTGAAATAAAATAAAAAGAAAAATAATTGCCTTTCCCCGGCAACGGCGCCAAATTTGACGTGCACTTTGTCGTGAGGTGCACTCAAAGTAATAATACAATACGACACTAATACGTAGTATAGTGTAGTAAGGTTCGTATCCACAGGGAAAGGAATACTTTTCTTCTTACAGAGATAGACAAGTAACAATAAGGGGGGTTTATATTTGGTTGATGAACTTTGAATTATATTTAAATACGAAGATGAACGAGTTATGTGGTTTAATTAATGAGAAGAAGACTTGGCTTTGCTTTTATCCACTTAATGAAATGCTCGCCGATCCCGGTTATATCTTTAACTATCTTCCTCTCGAATACTCAATCGAGGAGTATATCCAATTCATCGAGGGTAGTTATTAATAACGAGACGCGTTCATTAATAAAACTTACTATCGAGTCAATATAGAACACGCGCCGTATATGTACTTGATAGTAGCAATAAAATCAAGATGAAAACGATTGAGATTGATAACCTCAACACAAGCGGTTTATCGGTTTAATCAATATAATTAATTCCCCTTGGCTTACTAACCATGAGACGCATGCATTAGCAACCCAAGTTTACTACCGTGAAAGAGCCGAGTTAATAACAAGCGTATTAATCGACCGATTCTAGTATTAATTAATATATGAAACAAAACTAGTTGATCCTTTAAGTATTGCTCAAAATATTAATATGTAATAGGAATAAGAATTAATTAATATTCAAGGAAGAAGATCAAAGAAAATAACTCACAACTTACAATTCATTAAGCTTCAAAGTAGCAAAACCAAGATGGAAGAGTTTAGCTCCTCATTTGGAGACTAAACATGATAAAAATATAAAGAAAGAACTTGTCTACACTGAGCTTAGAAGTATATGTGAATTCGTATCTTCTTGTGGAGGAAATGGGGTGTATTTATAGGCTTTTTAGGCTTGCAGGGTCGTGTACCCGATCGGGTTTTCAGCCCACTCGATCGGGTACCATATGTGGCTTCGGCGAAGCTGAAAAATGGGGTCATACCCGATCGGGTCTGTCGGTCACCCGATCGGGTATGGACACCCGAACGTGTTAAAATCTTCCCGCATGATGCCTTGTTCCCGGATTTGATTTGATTCGAAATTTCAGAAGGGTACCCGACCGGGTATAGGTCATACCCGATCGGGTACAGACCAAAAACGAGATCTTCAATCTTTTTCTTGCATTCTTGCACCTTCCTTCCACTGGTGATGTTCTCCAAAGTGTATTTGGACCTGTTTGAGCTCAGAATAAACCTAATCTAAACATATTACAGATATTTTACAAACTAAACTATTTACACCAAAAGTGTGTAATTTCCAAAGTAACAATCACTCGAAACTAATTAAAAGTACAACTTTAAATACGGAAATTACACGAATGTCACATTTAATCCGTTATTCTCCCGGTCGGACCGAAGTATAACCGGCGCCGGTTTTACCCTATAACCGGCGCCGGTTATGGTGTTTTTTACTATTATTCCATCCCCGAAGTAAAACCGGCGCCGGTCTAGCCTAAAACCGGCGCCGGTTAAGCCCGAATCTGCAGAATACAAAGAGACGTGCAGCCATATCTTGATGGGAAAAACTCACTGTGACACCGCACCCGAACGTCCTTGAAAATTCGATTTAAAAATTCAAAAGTGATGTATTGAATTTCCGATTTCAAAGCAATGGAAGAAACGATTAATATTTTACGAAGTACATGATTGAATATTGTATTGTTCAAACCCGCATTCTTTTGTAATTTTCATCGTGTAAATTATTGGGATGAGCCTACACATATTGGAGATCAATAATGTGATTTAGGAAGTTGACTTGCTCTAAATAAGTTAGAATAAGTACAAAAAAAGACATCTTTTGACAAAGATAAAACAATAGGACCCATCTTCCCATTTTTGGAGGTATTGGTAGATATTTTGGACCCCAAATTAAATGGGATCATTTGGGAACCATCCCACATGACCTTGGTACCTGCAAAGACAAAGAAAAATGGATGAGACAACTATGTGGGGCGGACTTTTGACTCATGAGCTACAACATTACAAAAAGGAAATAAAAGAGGAGGTCCATACCATGTTTGATTGCAATCAAATACCCCACCCTTCTTTTTGTGAACCACATGCTCTCTTAGCATGATTGAGGCCTTCCTAATACATTTTCCCTACACCCCATTCGAACTCCCAAGATAAGAGAGAAAGAGGGAGCCACATATTCCAAGAGAGAAGAGAAGAGAGAAGCTGGCCGCAGGATTCGTTTTCCAGCAGATAGGGTCTCTTGTTTGATCCATAACTTGAGCTTCACTCGTCCAAATAAGGCGTATGATATACCAAAAGAAAGCTCTCAAGACGAGGAATCTGTGAAGGCCTGGTTTGCAGGAATCGGAGTTGTGGAAGGCTTCCAAATCGTCCGAGAAAAACGCAACCTCGCAGGAGAGGATTTAATCTTCTAAAGTGAGTTTTAACCCCAAAGCTTTACTTTTCATTCTCCAAATGATATGAACGATTGGTGAGACTATTATACACTAATCCAAGTGTATAATATGTCCTTATAAAGTTATTTTATTGATGTAAAGGTTAGATACTAACCTAGATGCAAATATTGGAAAACTAGGAATCGAGTTAGCCGGAAAACACCCGTTCTAGGGGCTGTTTTCGTATCAACGATTAAGGGTTGAACTAGCACTTTGAGGAGGCTGTTTAACACTCATATTTGAGCAAGGAATCAGTCCCAAATCCACCTTGACCAAAGATTTGACCGTTGGACCAAGAAGGGAAAGTTTAAAGCTCAATTGAGGTGAGGATTGACATCTAATTGCTTACAACTTGTAGGTTAAGCATGAGATTACCTAAATGTTTAAATCATGATTTTTCATGGATTATGATGACTATATATTGATGAAATATTGATATAGTTGCCAAAGAATGAATTTGGAATGATTTGAGAAAGTATGAACGATATGAGATTAAATGAGTATAAATGAACTATTTTGTGAAAATGGGCATTTTGCTCATGTATGAATTGTGTGGATACATAAATGAATATTTGTGTATCGAGATTGAATACTTAAGTTGCTGCTACATAATTATAAATATGTAGAGAATTACAAACAATGAGGAAAATGGTACGATAACAATAATCTTAATAGTATTGGAATACTAGTTAGTGATTATTGGAACTTGTTGATTAAATTGATCCTAGGGATTGGATTGTATGAAAGGTACTTGAATGTAGTTCAAGTGTATATGATAACTTAGTATGGAACTAAGGTTAAGTTATGGGGAGTCTTTAAGGATGACCCATAGTAGTTTAATGATATGTCAATTCTAGGCATAGGGTTGCTTGAGAATTGGACCTTAATGCATGGTGATGTGATAGAGCCGAGCTCTAGAATGCATGTAAGGTGTAGACTTGGAGTCTATGTATTGTATAGCTAGAGCCGAGCTCTAGGACTTGCGTGGTGATGTGATAGAGCCGAGCTCTAGAACGCAAGGTAGGGAGATTGACCCGAGGTATATGAATTGTATGGTGATGTGGTAGAGCCGAGCTCTAGAATACAATGTCATGTACTAGGGTTGGACTCTAGGAGTTGTCGTGGCTTATAGTCACGGGGTTGGGAATGGTGATTTCCAAATAAACATGGGCCCACGGGCCGACTACTTGACTTTTATATTAAGTAAGTATATTTTTAAACGGGGTAACTAGGGTTACAAATCATAATGTACTATCACCCTATTTGAGGGTCTTGTGTTTGAAATACTTGTTGTATATCTATTAGATGCCTGCCACACCAGTACTTTATAGCCGTATAGAGTACTGACCCCTTCGGGGGCGTCCCACCACCATTTTTCAGGTTGAGGCTAGAGCTTGCTTCCTGTGCTCGTTGCTCGAGAGATCATATAGGAGGGAAGACTTGGTTCGTGCTTCCTCCATTCTGTTTTTAAACCTTCCTAAACGTGCTCATGGATATTTTACTATGGAGCCTGCGTGCTCATGAAATGCCTTGTGTGGCCTTTTGTTTTAAACAATGTTTCCGCTGCGTTATGAATTACTTATTATGTTTGTTTATGGATGTGTATGTGTGAATGATACTCGAGACGCCTTGTATAATATGAATGTGTTGGACTGCGGTTGACTATTCGTATTGTACGGCGGGTTGTTGACGTGTCCGGATAGGTCCGGGGCGTGACAATTAAGTTGGTATCAGAGCCGGGTTCATAAACTTCATAATGAAGTCTCAAAATTCTCTTTTTGAAAAGATTTTGAAAACCATGAGCATAGAAGTTTTGTACTTGGAGAGCTTTTGGTACTTGGGTTGCAAGGTCTCTAATTGTTAAGATGGTACCCTTAGCAATTGGTATGGCAGTGACTCGAGCCAAAATGTGTCTTAAGTACCTATCCGTCAATTGACATTTGATACGAGTCTAACGACTCTTTCCCAATTTCTTTCAGAAATGGACCGTGGTGGCAGGATTACTAGGAGAAACCCGACCGGCCGTGTACCAGAGGAGACTGGACAGGGCAGTCGAAGGACCTCTAGGGCATCTAGAGGAGCTGGCCGTGGAGGCCGATCACAGACCGTGAGTGACGGTCATGTCGACACAGAAAGTGAAACCTACTGGTCCTATGAGGACTCGACTTACCAACCGGGGACCGAGCCGGTTGAGACCCCTTACGAAGGGGATGACGATGATGTGAGCGATGAAGAGGGGGAGAATGACTCCCTAGCAAGAATAGAGGCGTTGCTCCAACAATATCACCGTGAGCGTGAAGAGAGGAGGGAACGCCGAAGGCGCCGGGCTGGGCAACCTTCGGGCATGGCTTCACGAGGAGGAAGTCATGGTGCATCTAGAGTCCATGTGGAACCACGTGGAGGCCAAAATGATGGAGGTCCAACCATAAGGATCTCCAAGTACATCAAAGAAGCAAGAGATTTGGGGTGCAAACCCTTTGATGGAGCAGGGGACATTTCAGTGGCAGCACAATGGATCAAGAGGCTAAATGAAGCGGCCCTTGACATGCAAATCGCGCCGAATCTCAAACTGAGAATTGCGGTAAGATTGCTCGAGGGGATGGCATCCAAGTGGTGGGATGGAACCAAGAACAAGTACGGTGAGACCGTCGTTTGGGAGGACTTCCAACGGGAGTTCTTTGCCCAATACTATTCTGATTTCGAGGTGAATAAGAAGGTGAGGGAATACACCCTCCTAACCCAAGGGGGTAACATGTCAGTGAAGGAGCTGGAGTACAAGTTCCGGGATCTCGCCGACTACATACCGGAGTATGCTTGTGACGAGAACCGCATGGTGAACCACTTTTGGGACGCTCTTGACTTGGAGATACGTGATAGGGCAACGCAATTGCCTAATATGACTTTCGCCCAAGTGGTTGAACAAGCATTGAAAGGGGAGAAGCAGTGGGAGGAACGGAAGAAGAGAGACGCCGAAGAGGCGAAGAAGAGAAAATGGGAGAGTCATGGCTCCCAAGGTTCCAACAAAAGGGGGAACCACGGAGGAGGATCTTTCCGGGCACCACCGCCACCATCAAGGGGGAACCAAGGCCCAAGTGGGCAAGGCTCGAGGTCACAGACCTCAGTGGTAACTCGTTGCAACAATTGCAAGAGGAACCATTCCGGTAAATGTCGCGACCCCCCTAGATGTTTCCAATGTGGGGATGCCGGGCATTTGAAGGCACATTGCCCACAACTGGGCGGGGCAAGGACATCGGGACCAAGTAGTGGCCCGACGGGTACACGGAATCAGACCGGGGCTTCTCAAGCAAGCAGGGGGCAAGGGGGAGCAAGTGAGAGCAACGCGCCATCCGTGAACCAAGGGAGGACCCAGGCTAGGGTCTATGCGATGATGGAGGCGGATGCTCAAGCTAACCCGGACTCCGTCGCAGGTATTGCCTCTCATATACTAGTGTTTTATCCTTAATTAGTCCATAAATTGAGGATACTAATCGCTAGGATCATTGCACGAGGTTTTGGGGTCGAACCGGGGGATTTCGGGCAACTTCAGGCGGCTGGGACCCAGGCACGATCGTGCCTAAGGCAGACACGATCGTGCCTCCAAGTCAGTAGCTGCCCAGGAATATTCCCAGCCCAGGCACGATCGTGCCTAAGGCAGACACGATCGTGCCTACAAGGCAGTAGCTGCCCAGGGCTTTTCTCCAAACCAGGCACGATCGTGCCTAAGGCAGACACGATCGTGCCTCCAAGTCAGTGGTTCCCAGGATTTTTCCAACCCAGGCACGATCGTGCCTAAGGCAGACACGATCGTGCCTCCAAGGCAGTAGCCCCAGGGCGTTTTCCTGAGCCAGGCACGATCGTGCCTACCCCGGGCACGCCGTGCCTGGCACCCAGATTGCCGAAACCCGATTTTTTTCGCATCGTTTTGCGACGTTAAGGCCTCTTCTTGATCCCTAACGTGCGTGTGAACATTGCAACCTTCTATAAATGAGTAGGGAGGGTAGGAAAGATGTCTTACATGGTTCATGAATGTAGGGACACTAAAGATTAACGGGAAGGATGCACGAATCCTTATCGATACCGGAGCGCAACGTTCATTCGTGAGTGAGGCGTTTGCCGAGAGCTTAGAGATGCAATCAATACCAATGACACAAACCTTAGTGGTATCAACCCCACTAGGGGAAGACGTTGAAAGAAACAATTACTATCCATCTTGTATGGTGGAAATCGGTGGCCAAACCTTGACGTGTGATTTCGTACCGCTGAGTATGATGGAGTTCGATGCAATCCTAGGGATGGATTGGCTAGAAAAGCATCATGCTAGGGTAGATTGCTACACAAAGGTGTTGGAACTCGAAGGCACACAGGGGGACACCCTACGCTTCGAGGGGGACCGCGGCAAATCAAATAGTTGTATCATATCCGCCGTGAGAGCGAGAAATATGATGAGGAAGGGATGCCACGCATATCTAGCATACGTGGTTGACAAAACCAAAGAGGAAACGAACGTCGATGATGTGAGGGTGGTTTGTAAGTATCCGGATGTCTTCCCTAAAGACCTACCGGGGCTTCCACCTGACAGAGAGATTGAATTTGTGATCGAGGTCGAGCCTGGTACCAAACCAATCTCCATACCGCCATACCGGATGGCACCCGCTGAACTTAACGAGTTGAAAACCCAATTGCAAGAGCTTTTGGATAACGGTTTCATTAGACCAAGCCACTCCCCGTGGGGAGCACCGGTTCTTTTTGTGAAAAAGAAAGATGGGACACTTCGAATGTGCATTGACTATCGTCAACTAAACAAGGTCACAATCAAGAATAGGTATCCGTTGCCTAGGATTGATGACTTGTTTGATCAACTACGAGGAGCAACCGTGTTTTCGAAGATTGACTTAAGGTCGGGGTACCATCAATTGAAGATTAAGGAAGATGACATACCAAAGAGTGCTTTCCGCACAAGGTATGGGCATTTTGAGTTCCTTGTTATGCCGTTTGGGTTAACAAACGCCCCGGCGGCATTCATGGACTTGATGAACCGAGTATTCCATAAATACTTGGATCGATTCGTGATTGTGTTCATAGATGACATCTTGATTTACTCAAAGAGTGAAGAAGAGCATGAGGAGCACTTGATACTTGTTCTTGAAACACTACGGGAGAAGCAACTCTATGCCAAATTTTCTAAATGTGAATTTTGGCTAAAGGAGATTGGCTTCCTCGGGCACGTGGTTTCGGGATCGGGGATTGCTGTTGATAACAAGAAGATAGAAGCCATTACTGAATGGGAGAGGCCAAAGAACGTCAAGGAAATTCGTAGTTTCCTTGGATTGGCAGGCTACTATAGAAAGTTTGTGGAGAAGTTCTCTGTTTTGGCATCGCCATTGACGAAGCTCACTCGTAAAGGAGCTAAGTTTGTATGGGATGACAAATGTGAGAAAGGGTTCATGGAACTAAAGAAGAGATTGACTGAGGCACCGGTACTTGCATTACCCAAACAAGGTGTGGGGTACGATGTCTATAGCGATGCGAGCATCCAAGGGCTCGGATGTGTACTGATGCAGAATGGGAGGGTAATCGCCTATGCTTCACGACAATTGAAGAAGCATGAGGTGAATTATCCTACTCATGATTTGGAGCTCGGGGCAGTGGTATTTGCACTGAAGATATGGAGACATTATCTCTACGGGGAGACATGTCACATATACACTGATCACAAGAGCTTGAAGTACGTGTTTACTCAGAAAGAGCTAAACATGAGACAGAGACGGTGGATGGAGCTGATAAAAGACTACCATCTAGTGATAGAGTATCACCCAGGCAAGGCAAACGTGGTGGCAGATGCTTTGAGCCGGAAGAGCTCGTCTGGGGCATTGATAACTAATCTGAGGGCATTAAGAGCCCAACTGGAGGTAACCAGCGATGGTGCCTTATTGGCACGATTTGAGGTGAGACCCACTTTACTTGATGAGATCAAGAAGGGTCAGGAAGCCGACGAAGAACTTATGAAGGTCCGGGAACGCATGCAAGCGGGGCCGGTGGAGGATTTCAGGGAAAGAGATGATGGTCTCTTGTTATTTCGTGACCGAGTGTGTGTACCGTCAGATGATGAGCTCCGAAAGTCCATCTTAGAGGAGGCTCATTCATCGGCTTATGCCATGCACCCGGGGGGCACGAAAATGTACCGTGATTTGAAGGAAAGTTACTGGTGGTCTGGAATGAAGAGGGAAATAGCCGAGTACATCAGTCGGTGCCTTACTTGTCAACAAGTTAAGGCAGAACATCAGCACCCAGCAGGCTTATTGCAACCACTCTCCATCCCTGAATGGAAGTGGGAGCACGTGACTATGGATTTCGTGGTAGGCTTACCACGGACTATCAGGAACTATGACGCGGTTTGGGTCGTTGTGGATAGGCTCACAAAGAGTGCACACTTCTTGCCTATCAACACTACCTACCCACTTGAGAGGTTAGCCAAATTGTATACGGATGAGATCGTGAGGCTGCATGGGGTCCCGGTGACCATTGTATCTGATAGAGACCCACGATTCACATCACGTTTTTGGCCGAAATTCCAGGAGTCTATGGGAACGAAGTTGAAGTTCAGCACTGCTTTCCATCCACAGACGGATGGGCAGTCTGAAAGGGTTATACAGATCCTAGAAGACATGCTGAGGGCTTGTGCATTGGAGTTCCAGGGGAGTTGGGACAACCACTTAGCACTTGTGGAGTTTGCCTATAACAACAGTTATCAGGCAAGCATCGGCATGCCTCCATACGAGGCATTGTATGGGAGGAGGTGCCGTACACCGTTATGCTGGGACGAGGTTGGCATGGCCAAACTTGAGGGTACTGAGTTGGTGGAGGTCACCAAATCAAAGGTGAAGTTAATTCGAGAGAGACTCAAGGCGGCTCAGGATAGACAAAAGAGTTATGCAGATAAGCGTCGAAGAACCTTAGAGTTTAAGGTTGATGACGAGGTATTCTTGAAAGTTTCTCCTTGGAAAGGGATCATTCGGTTCCAAACCCGAGGAAAACTTAACCCACGATATATAGGTCCATTCAGAATTATAGAGAGGATTGGGGCCGTTGCATATCGTCTACAATTGACTCCTGAGTTAGAGAAGATACATAATGTGTTTCATGTATCCATGCTTAAGAAGTACGTGCATGATCCCTCTCACGTATTGGAGAAGCCACCTGTAGAGGTACGTGAGGATTTGAACTACGCTGTTCAACCTATCAAAGTCACCGATAGAAAGGTGAAGAAGCTGAGGAGCAAAGAAGTCCCAATGGTTAAAGTCCTGTGGAAGAGCGATCGGGTCGAGGAAGAGACATGGGAAACGGAGGCTTTGATGAGGAAGCAGTATGCTTTCCTATTCGAGTAGAGCTGTGAATTTCGGGGACGAAATTCCTGTTAAGGGGGGGTGAACTTGTGACACCGCACCCGAACGTCCTTGAAAATTCGATTTAAAAATTCAAAAGTGATGTATTGAATTTCCGATTTCAAAGCAATGGAAGAAACGATTAATATTTTACGAAGTACATGATTGAATATTGTATTGTTCAAACCCGCATTCTTTTGTAATTTTCATCGTGTAAATTATTGGGATGAGCCTACACATATTGGAGATCAATAATGTGATTTAGGAAGTTGACTTGCTCTAAATAAGTTAGAATAAGTACAAAAAAAGACATCTTTTGACAAAGATAAAACAATAGGACCCATCTTCCCATTTTTGGAGGTATTGGTAGATATTTTGGACCCCAAATTAAATGGGATCATTTGGGAACCATCCCACATGACCTTGGTACCTGCAAAGACAAAGAAAAATGGATGAGACAACTATGTGGGGCGGACTTTTGACTCATGAGCTACAACATTACAAAAAGGAAATAAAAGAGGAGGTCCATACCATGTTTGATTGCAATCAAATACCCCACCCTTCTTTTTGTGAACCACATGCTCTCTTAGCATGATTGAGGCCTTCCTAATACATTTTCCCTACACCCCATTCGAACTCCCAAGATAAGAGAGAAAGAGGGAGCCACATATTCCAAGAGAGAAGAGAAGAGAGAAGCTGGCCGCAGGATTCGTTTTCCAGCAGATAGGGTCTCTTGTTTGATCCATAACTTGAGCTTCACTCGTCCAAATAAGGCGTATGATATACCAAAAGAAAGCTCTCAAGACGAGGAATCTGTGAAGGCCTGGTTTGCAGGAATCGGAGTTGTGGAAGGCTTCCAAATCGTCCGAGAAAAACGCAACCTCGCAGGAGAGGATTTAATCTTCTAAAGTGAGTTTTAACCCCAAAGCTTTACTTTTCATTCTCCAAATGATATGAACGATTGGTGAGACTATTATACACTAATCCAAGTGTATAATATGTCCTTATAAAGTTATTTTATTGATGTAAAGGTTAGATACTAACCTAGATGCAAATATTGGAAAACTAGGAATCGAGTTAGCCGGAAAACACCCGTTCTAGGGGCTGTTTTCGTATCAACGATTAAGGGTTGAACTAGCACTTTGAGGAGGCTGTTTAACACTCATATTTGAGCAAGGAATCAGTCCCAAATCCACCTTGACCAAAGATTTGACCGTTGGACCAAGAAGGGAAAGTTTAAAGCTCAATTGAGGTGAGGATTGACATCTAATTGCTTACAACTTGTAGGTTAAGCATGAGATTACCTAAATGTTTAAATCATGATTTTTCATGGATTATGATGACTATATATTGATGAAATATTGATATAGTTGCCAAAGAATGAATTTGGAATGATTTGAGAAAGTATGAACGATATGAGATTAAATGAGTATAAATGAACTATTTTGTGAAAATGGGCATTTTGCTCATGTATGAATTGTGTGGATACATAAATGAATATTTGTGTATCGAGATTGAATACTTAAGTTGCTGCTACATAATTATAAATATGTAGAGAATTACAAACAATGAGGAAAATGGTACGATAACAATAATCTTAATAGTATTGGAATACTAGTTAGTGATTATTGGAACTTGTTGATTAAATTGATCCTAGGGATTGGATTGTATGAAAGGTACTTGAATGTAGTTCAAGTGTATATGATAACTTAGTATATGTCAATTCTAGGCATAGGGTTGCTTGAGAATTGGACCTTAATGCATGGTGATGTGATAGAGCCGAGCTCTAGAATGCATGTAAGGTGTAGACTTGGAGTCTATGTATTGTATAGCTAGAGCCGAGCTCTAGGACTTGCGTGGTGATGTGATAGAGCCGAGCTCTAGAACGCAAGGTAGGGAGATTGACCCGAGGTATATGAATTGTATGGTGATGTGGTAGAGCCGAGCTCTAGAATACAATGTCATGTACTAGGGTTGGACTCTAGGAGTTGTCGTGGCTTATAGTCACGGGGTTGGGAATGGTGATTTCCAAATAAACATGGGCCCATGGGCCGACTACTTGACTTTTATATTAAGTAAGTATATTTTTAAACGGGGTAACTAGGGTTACAAATCATAATGTACTATCACCCTATTTGAGGGTCTTGTGTTTGAAATACTTGTTGTATATCTATTAGATGCCTGCCACACCAGTACTTTATAGCCGTATAGAGTACTGACCCCTTCGGGGGCGTCCCACCACCATTTTTCAGGTTGAGGCTAGAGCTTGCTTCCTGTGCTCGTTGCTCGAGAGATCATATAGGAGGGAAGACTTGGTTCGTGCTTCCTCCATTCTATTTTTAAACCTTCCTAAACGTGCTCATGGATATTTTACTATGGAGCCTGCGTGCTCATGAAATGCCTTGTGTGGCCTTTTGTTTTAAACAATGTTTCCGCTGCGTTATGAATTACTTATTATGTTTGTTTATGGATGTGTATGTGTGAATGATACTCGAGACGCCTTGTATAATATGAATGTGTTGGACTGCGGTTGACTATTCGTATTGTACGGCGGGTTGTTGACGTGTCCGGATAGGTCCGGGGCGTGACACTCACCTTCCTCATGATCTGATCAAATATATCTTCCATGCCTGATTGTTGGGCTCGAATAGACTAAAAGATGTCAATCTTTAGCCTATATAAAGCCCCCAATTCATCAAACAAGATCATCATTCCATTCTTGAAGATTAAATTTCGGTTTTTATATTTCCTTTTTGCATTTTCTTGAAGTGTTGGAGAAGAAGCCATTTCTCTCCTCTACAATTGGTTCTAGGTATTATTTCTTGTATGTTATTGTATTTCATTGTTCTTAGTTACACTTTTGTAATTAATATGAGCATTAGAGGCTAAGTTCTTAGCTAAGGCTAGGGATGAACTTCTATGCCCACTAGGTGTTTGATAAAAGTTCTAAACCAATAAATTGTGATTTATCCTTACATTTTGATTGTTTATGACTATGGTGTACAACATAGAAGTATGTTAAACTTAGTTTATGCTTGCAATTAACGTTGAAGTCTAAACTATGAACATTAAAGGATAAACATATATATTACCGAGAATAGAAATATATCCGGTATTATATGATACGGGTGTGATGTCTTGATATTCAACGGGGTTTCCGGTAGATGAATGTAAGCCGTAACGGGACTTACACGTAACGGAAACCACGCTCTCGCTGCCTTAACCGGAGTTGAGAATATATTAGCGACATCGTATTCATAATTATTGGTAAAGAACTAATATTCAACCCTATTAAAGCATTTAAGTGATTCCCGAAGCCTTAGTTGTTGTTATCAATCACTTTAATCAAATTAATTTAAGTTATATCTCTGAAAATTAAAAGGAAGAACCAAGTTGTTGTTTTCACAACAACACACAACTCAAAATCCCTGCACTTTACTCATTTATTTATTTAAAGTCATCTACTTTCGGACTTGAATTAAACAACGTTTCCCTGTGGATTCGACCCGGTATTTTACCGGAATTTATTACTATATCGGCACTTGTACACTTGCAAGTTCAAACCGGTCAAGTTTTTGGCGCCGTTGCCGGGGAAACGGTCTTGTTTTATAAAGTTCACAAATATCATTTTTTTTTGCATTTCCCTTATTTGTGTAGTAGTGTTAGTTTAAAAAAAAACAAAAATGTTTTGTCATACTCATAAAAGTTCAAGGATCTAAGTAAAACTTTGGTCCCGAAGTTGAAAGAGTGTGCAAACACAAAAAAAAAAAAAAAAATCCTTCACTAAATGAGATCAAGATGCCCATTGTTGCCTATAACCCACATTTTCAAGCTAGAGACATAAAGTTCTCTAGAGTGAAGGAAATATCTATCGGTGATGTGTTTGATAGAAGATTCTTGGAGTTTGAACGAACACTGAAAGAAAGCCTGCAAACCGCCTTAAGAAACATTCTTCCTACACGAGAGTATGCTATTCAAACCGAGGAGATCAATTACATGAACTCCTATGACGAGTGGGGGAATCATGGAGGTAATAACTACTACAACTCTTCTAATCAACAAAAGGGGAACCAAGACAACAATTGGAAACCGCAAGGGAGTTCTTCAAACTTTCGTTCCACCATGGAAGAGATGATGACGTTTCTTACCACAAGTATTCAAGCCGAAAATGAAAAACATTATAGTAGAATGAGGCATCTGTTGAGAATCTCCATTCTCAATTTACCAAACTTGACATCCGAATTGAAAATCAAAACACAATTCTGAATCAAAGGATGGACAACCTCGAGCGAGATACCAAAAGCTCCTTCCACACTCTACAATTGCAGATTGACCAACTTGCTCAACAAGTTACTATAGCAGGAAATACCATGGTCATCACAACGGAAAGCAAAAGAGGAAAGAAGGATCTCAAAGTTCCGGAGAGCAAGAAGACCTCAGACATACTTGATGTACACGACAAGACTAGAAAGCTATCTGTGGGAGATAAAAATGACATATTTCATGTGTGGAGAGTACAACCCACTCTAGAGAATTTCTTGAAGCCGGAAGCTAATGTTCTCACGCCTCCAAATGGTTGAGGAGACCTCTTTTCCATTCAAGAAGGATACGTCAACAAGAAAGGAGGACATAATCGGGACATGCCAAAAAGGTACATTTTTTACCCGGGTGATACTCTTCTCAATATTGAAAATAATAGCTTCGCATCCTCTCCTCCCCCGCAAGATTTTAAAAGAGAGGTCCTACTAGCTAAACACCTGCGGGAATTCAACTGCACAAAAGAGGTACGTTCGTCCGGCCTATGACGTTAAACTAAGCACTAATTGGGAGGCAACCCAACAAATTCAATTATAAATAAATATGTTTGGTGTTGGCTCTATCCTTCCAAAATCAACGTGTTTACCGTGTTGCTCCCAAGCTGACCTCGTTGACCATCTAGCTCCCAGAATTGACCTGTAGAATAATCACTAAAAACAACTAAAAATACATTAGTGGCTCGAGACGCGTCAAACGCTGTCCTAAGGAATTATTTCCCGCGTACGGAAATTTCCCCCAAGATATAACGAGCTCTTCGGTACAAGACCGGTAACAGAACTAACGAGAAGAAAATTAGTATATGAACCCAATAATCATTTGAACAAAATATAATCCATGATATCTTTTTATATATAATATAAATCGTAGTGAGTCGGCCGAACTGCCAAACATGGATATATATATGACTCCTTGATTATGCCCACCAATGGAGCAAGCAAGTGTACATGTAATCCTTTTAACATAATAAAATGTGAGTAGCTCTTGGTGAAAATTATCTCCAATCACCTTCACCGCAGGAGCCAGGAAAGTTCAAATATATACAAGTTGATAAAGTTGGCTTTCTCCAAAATAATGACTAAATTAATGGCCTTTTTTTTTATAGCAAAAACGACAAATGAGTAAACAGGAGAATTAACATCTAATAGAGGGAATGCTAAATTTATCCATATAAAAAGCTCTTTTGGCCCGAATCGGAAGCGTCGATGGGCTGGCATAAGATCTAAAAAGGCCCATGTGATCAGTGGCTAAAAAGTGGGCCGTCCAATTTCCCTCGGCTGGTCGGCCAGGTGCCCTTTGATAATGCTGGCACGCGCTGCATTTCCGTGCCATCGTCGGCCAAAAATAGCCTTGGACGACGAGGCGGCGCGACATGCTGAAGGGTCCCTGGTGTGATGAGCATACATCACAGTGGACTTCTTCCATGGCCACTTCGGCCTCATTCTGGTGGAGGCACCGGAGGAGGGTGCCATTGGATGATCTCTTGTAGAGCTTGTCACCCTCAATGACATAGCTAGGGGCCCTGAGCTTGGCTAGTTTGGCCCTCTCCTCGTCTTCTGGTAACGTGCCGGAGGTGATGTAGGTTGCGATGTCAGTGATCCAGTCCTCCGGCTGGTGTTGTATGGAGAGTATAGGGCTAACGTGAATGCTTGACATGCTCAACTCCTCCACCTTCGTTATCTTGGAGATGTGCTCAGGGGTGTCGGAGCTGAGTTTGGAGAGTATGTCGGCCTCGGCGTTCTCCGCCCTTGGGATCTGAGTGATCTCGTAGGTATCGAACGCCTTGAGCAATTCCGCAGCGGCCTCCTTGTATTGCTTCATTCTCCCCTCTTTGGCCTCGTAGGAGCCCTCCATCTGGTTCACTACGAGTTTGGAGTCGCATTTGATTCTGATGTGGCGTGCTTTGAGGCCAGCGACTAGTCTGAGCCCACTGAGGAGTGCTTCGTACTCAGCCTCATTGTTGGATACTTTGAAATTGAAGCGGATGGCATAGTATGCTCTGAAACCTTCCAGGGAGATGAGGACGACGCCACCCCCCACATGCCTTGTTGGCCGATGACCCATCCGTGAAGAGGGTCCAGGCTTCATCTGGTTCATGGCCGGTGGTGGTGACGGCCGTCTCCCTCGCTGTGCATTCCGTGACAAAGTCAGCCAAGGCTTGCCCTTTGATAGATGGCCTCGGCTTGATCTCAATCTGGTACTGGCTCAAGAATATTGCCCATTTGATCATCCTTGGAGAGCTGGTTGAGCTTCTCATTAGGGCGCCCAACGGCTGATGCGTGAGGACACGGACGGGGTGAGCTTGGAAATAGTGTCCAAGCTTCTTCACCGTGTGGACGATGGCCATCACTGTCTTCTCAATGGGGGAGTACCTGAGCTCGGCCTCCCGCAACGTCTTGCTGACGTAGAATATAGCCTTTTGCACCCCGTCATCCTCCCTGATGAGCACAGAGCTAATGGCTGACGTACTCACCCCCAAGTAGAGGAAGAGAGTCTCGCCGGGTTGGGGCTTGGATAGGACGGGTGGGGAAGCGAGATATTGTTTCAGCTCTTCAAAGGCCTGTTGGCACTCCGTCGTCCACTTGAAGCTGGTGGCCTTCCTCATTATTTGGAAGAAGGGGAGCGACTCCTCTGCGGATTTTGAGAGAAAATGGTTCAGGGCCGCGAGGCGTCCCGTCAGCCGTTGCACCTCCTTTATGTTGCGGGGCGGCTCCATGTTGATAATGGCTTGTATCTTCTTTGGGTTTACTTCAATGCCCCTTCGGCTGACCAGGTAGCCCAGGAATTTACCTCCATGGACGCCGAAGGTGCATTTCTTCGAGTTGAGCCGGAGGTTGTATCTCTTCATAATCTCGAAGATGCCCCGGAGGTCGTCGGCATGAGTTGTGGATTGGTTGCTCTTGACGATCATATCATCGACGTATGCTTCCATCGTCCGACCTAAGACTGCTCTAAAAACCCGGGCTACCATTCTTGTATAAGTGGCGCCGGAATTCTTGAGCCCAAAGGCCATGACGAGGTAGCAAAAGATTCCCTCCGGGGTCATGAAAGCAGTTTTCTCCGCGTCATCTTCATGCATTGATATCTGGTGGTACCCTCTGAACGCGTTGAGGAACGACATCAACTGGCACCCCGCCGTCTCGTCCACCAACTGATCAATGTTGGGGAGAGGGAATGGGTCCATTGGGCACGCCTTGTTCAGGTCGGTGTAATCAACGCACATCCTGAACGTAGGCGGCTTTGGGGCGAGGACGACGTTCGCCAGCCACGTGGGGTACTTCACCTCTCTGATGTGCTTGATGGAGAGCAGCATGGCCACTTCGGTCTTGACAAATTCCCTCCTGTCGGCTGAGAGGTAGCGCTTCTTTTGCTTGATGGGGGAGGAGGCCGGGTCGA